CAAAAAAAAACCAAAAATAGCAGAAAGGAGGCAGGAGGCGGACAGGACTCGTATCTGAATCAGAATCTGAGACTGGAGAACAAATGGAATTGAATGAAAATCGAAAGTCGATGGGGGAAAAATTCCGTGAGAGATTTCCCCCTTTTTTCCCTGCCAACCCAGAGGGCGTGGCGCCGTGGGTGGAGAGGTCAGTTCTGGCCGTAAAGTTAATAAAGAGCCCCGGGGGCGGTAAACAATTTGCGTTGCGAAAAGTCGAGGGGGGTGGGAGGGAGACGACCAATACACAGCGAGAAAAAACATGGGGCTGGTGGAGGTGGTGGGTTTTCGGCCGAAAGACCGCTTAAGGCAAACCAACGGAGTGCGAACTTGAAATTCTAATTGGCATTTTATGCCGAAGGATCAGTGACGAAGGGGAGTGACGGAGCAAGGCGGATCCGATGGGTAAGAAGGCGTGGCATCCTCCGCATCCTCAGATATCCCCACACCTCTTCTGGAGAACAGGTGTGAAATCGTTGACGAATTCTCACGAATACGTTTAATCCGCTTTCGGATTTTTGCAGTTGGTGGGCAGGACAGTGCCGTGCCAAGGATACCACCGAAATGGCAGTGGATATTGCCTAAAAATAATTATGTATTTTTCTTTAAATATAAATCAGGGTTTGTTTTAAGTTCAAGGATATTGTTTAGGTTTAAGAAGACTTTTTCAAATTAAAAGTATTGTGGAATCTTCTGGTTTCAAAGGCATACTCTTGGGGCATTACACTTTTTATTTTAGTTCTAAGTTTAATTATAAGTTTAAATTGAAAAAAAGTATTGGTATTAACTTGAAAAATATATGATTTTAAGCATTGACTTGTCCAAATATTAATTAATATTTAAGAGGTGTTTTTTAAATCAATTAAGTTATAAAAACCAAAGAAAATGTAAGTCATAGATCTTTTTGTGAATATTTCAGTTTTTAAGAAAGTTTTAAGTCAAATACTGATACAAGCTTGGTCTTATTTCATGCATATATCCTTTGAAGCCCAAATATATCCTCTTTTTTTAAGCCCACAAAACAAAATTTACCTTTTAGAGTATCTACTGTACAGTTTGCCCATTGGCCGCTTTGCATTTTGTGGGCGATATCATGTTAGATTAAAAAGAGCCACGTCCTCCTCGCCGCGTCCTGTTGTCCTCTGTCCTGGTAGCCATCTCGTCCTTCCTCCTTTTGGCCGGCTGGCCTGGAAATTAATTTCGTGCACATGTCCAGCAGCCTTTTCGCCGCAACTTTGTTTGGCCCTCTCACACAATAACGTATCGCATATCGGATGCGGATGCGGATGCGGATGCGGATCCCACCACTTGACCAAATCGCACTCCGGTCTCACGTGTTGACCGCAAATGTTAAAGCGGCGTGACTTTATTCGATTATACAAAATACGGGAGGGGTGGTGAAGTGGGAGGGTGGCGGCCAGGATCCCAGGACATGGGCGGTGGTTTAGGTGCAAGGTGGGTGCAAGGGAGCGTCCTGACGGAAAAGTTACGTAAAAACATTAGAGCCGGATCCGTTTTAGCATAACACCATTGTGAAATTGAATCCTGTCCGCGGCAATTGTTTTTCTGACTCATCAGGATGGTCAGAATACAGTGTGGGAAATTTTAATTAAAGAATTTGTTAGATAAAGAAAATAAATTACTCGGGTGAGTGAACAAAAAATATTTCAATTATATTTTTAGTATATATATATATATTAAAAATATTTTATTATATATTTATATTTTCATGGTCTTGAAAACTTTAATAAAAAGGTTCTTCAAAAGGGTTCTTTTGATATCTAAGCGATGGCATCATAGGCCTTTTGGCTGATAAATAAGACTTATTCTTTTATAATAGTAGTAATAGTGATAGTAATATTAAAAATAGTGTAAGAAAAATCTTAAAATAATAAATTTTTTATTAGAAAACCCATTTTTTTCTTAATCCTCTAGGTATCCTCTATGTATACAGCTTCTTCAGCACACAGCAGGAACTTCGCCACCTACCTGGCCAACCTTCCAAAGTAACTTAATAAAAAAAATGTTTAAAAAACATATAAATAATTGTTAAAAAATTATGTGCTATTCATAAACTCTTAAGAATACTTTAAGTATTCTATTGAGTATCTTGTCTTAAGTATCTTAAGAAGGCTATTTATACTATTCCAAAGAAAGAAATGCCAAAGGATTAAGATACTCCCCGGCAAGTATCCTTGACTTACCTTAATTCCCAATCTCCAATCCAATCCCCATCCAAAAAAGCATCAAAAAACAAATCCAAATTTTATTTACAGATCTGCAATTGGTATCAATTTATTTATTTGGCATCGTGGGGATTTGGAAACGCTTTATTTTGAGAGAGTTTCGAATCCGAAAACGATCCATTGGGTGCTGACAGCTATCGAGTTGACGGACAACTTTGAACAAGTCCTGCTGATTAATGCGCTCCTTGCGAGCTTATCGTCCTTGGCATTCGTATTCGCGGAGATCCTGCGTTCGGTGCCGAAGGGGGTTAAATGTTAACCCCTGAGTTGCCGGAGTTGTTTGACAACTCGTTGGGCATAATCGTAAAAAGTCTGCAAAATGTCCATAAATGCCGATTAAATCTTTATTTTCCGCCTTGGCGCACGCGGCAATCGAAAAGGGGGCGAATATGTATATCCTTGACGAGGGTTGAGGTCCTTGTTGTCCTCTTTTTTTCTGTTTTTTTTTGTCCTTTGGGATATTTGGTTACGCGTTTTTGAGTTTTTTTTGACAGACATGTGACAGCGTGGTGAGGCGCGATTCTGCAACCTGATGATTTAATAACTCGCCCGGGATACGGATTGGTTAAGGATTACTACTACGAATCCTTTTACCACCCCCCTCGATCCACACTACTATCGAAGCTATCCTCCTGCCAAGGACATTGACCGGAAAACTAATGGTTTGGCGGCGGGGTGGTGGTTGCAAATTTCCAGATGCCTCTTTGCCTCAAAAACTAACCACCCAGGATAACGGTGAGCTCTCCTTTTTCAGTTCCTGTTTTTGTTGTTGTTGTCACCGCAGCATATCCTTCTTGCATGTGTGTATGTGTGTGTGTGTGTGTGTGTGCAACGTGTGTGTGATTGATGACAACTCGAATAAGCGATGATTGATGCTTATTTTACACTTTTCGCTACAACACACGGCGACACATGTTTATTTGGGTGCGGGTATGGTCGGGTGTCCTTGTCGGCATTGGTATCGGTATCGGTGTTGGTGATGGTCTTGTTGTTGTTGTTGGTATTTGGTTAGTGTTATTGTCGGTGAGCCTGTCCTGTGTGTTCCTGTGCGTCCTGGGAGTTTTGGCAAACTGCAGCGGCCAACCAGAGACACTGATGGACGACTAACTAGTCCTTGTTTTAAAATTTAATTTATTGTTGTTTGTGCAAATAAAACTATGCGATTAGTAAAAAGTTTATAAATTTATTCCTCTTTAAAATATATGTATTAGTTAAAGAGTTTTTTATATACAAATTATAGAAAATAAGGATAGAAATTACTACATAAATAGAATAAATACTAACTTAAAGGTCCTATTTCATGGCAAGTTTCCACACTCAATTAGTTATTTTATTTTTCTAAAAATTCTTAAATATTTTAACTCTTATTTCTTTAACCTCTAGTGTCCTTTGGAGGATTATTAAGGGCGCACGTTCACGTACCGGCGTCTGGAGACGCCGACGAGCCGCAATCATCAATGTCACCATCTAGAATCTGTCATACACCCCATATTATACTCCCACACACATACATATATATATAAAATATATATATATATATATATTTGTGTAGTACTTTCGTCCCATCACCCGGTGAGGGTGGGAGAGTGGGTGGGAATCGATATGATGGTATTAGTAACTTCTTGTGCCTGTGCATGCCATTCTGCTCCTTGTTATCCTTGCGGTTTGCTTATTGGTGTTCGGCAATACATCATCGACTGGCTGACGGGTGACCCCCCGCCCCCTACCTCTGGTGATTCACCCCCTCCACTACCCTCCTGTACATATCTACAGGCATATCCCATCAGGATGTCTGGCCAGATCAGGGTTTTTGCATATATTGCAGTGACGGTCAAAATAATAGCATTTCACATTATAGGCCAGAGAAAAAGTGAGGAGTTTTCATGATAAATGGGAGAAGTGCTTAAGAAATTATAGAAAAATAATAAAATTAAAAAACTAGGTAATATAAAGATTATTATGGGTTAAGATGAATATAGAAAGTATTTCAGGAAAGATCTTGTCATCCAAAATAGGTTTAATTTCCATTCAAAAATGTTATTTTAGTTTAGGTCTTGAAATAACTAGGCTTGGCAGTAAGTATATAATTTTTTGAATTTTATAAATTAATTTTCAATGAAACCCTTAACTTAAAAATCTAAAATTTCTTCTTAAAACCTTCCTTCTCTTATTTTCATGAAAACATTTGTCTCTACCAGTTCGAGAAGCTTTTTAGAAATCTGTAATCGGAAACCAAGTGAATCGTCAAAATGGACAGCTCATAGTCCTGCATTTCGAGTCCTAGACACTTGAGTCATTTTGTAATTGTTAATTAGAGCTGACATCGTACAGGGCATTGTCATAAATCAAAATATAATATATATACATAATTCCCCAAACAAGTCACAACTATTGACAAGCAAGTCATTCGAATCTATTTGATTTGTTACAGAAATTTCACATTTATTTTCAGCTATTTAGTTTACTTAATTTCTAAGCAAAAAAAATGGCAAAACTAGCCTCTGTTTTAAAAAATTTCTTTCATATTTTTTTTTGGCACTTTAAATGCGCTCTTGATCACTTTTTTTTCTTAAGGATGTTCTTCTTCAGTCTCGGCAGGACGTATGAAGAATATATTTGGAGGGGCGGTACTTGGACGTCCAGAGGAGGCTTCATTAGATGGCCATAACTGTAAATAATTAATTAATTTTTGAGAGTTAATATTTATTTGTAAAAATATTATTTTAGTAGAACCTTTCTGTGCTGACGTCGAAAACGTTGACGATGGATCTGGGCCAGTTTTCCGGTTGTGAGAATCAGTTTCCTGCGTTGTTGCCAGGCCTGTAACGGGAAAAATATTACAAAATTATTAAAAAACTCTTAAAACTTAAATACTTAAAAATATAATAAAAAATATATAAAACTTTAATTATATTCTAAATAAAAATACTCCATAACCCACCTTCATATTGACATCGTATCGAACCCGTTGCTCCAATTGGGACTCACTGACCGCAAACTGATGGCACAGCCACCGGAAGCCACGCTGCAGATCCTCCGGGTCGTCCATGTCACAAATGAGCAAAGGACACCCGCAGGACGTTGCCAGGTGGTCGAGACCGAAGGCATTCGCCACATCGTACAGCTGGACACCGTCACAGTATCGGGAGGCCACCAAGAGGACCGGCTTGCCGGACATCTGGGAGTCTTGCAGGCAGGTCCTTAGCAGGCGAAAGGTATCGTCCAGCTCCTCGGGACTCTGGCTGAGATCGAAGCAGTAAATCAAAGCATGACTGGAGGCAAAGTAGTGATGCCACAGGCGCTGCATCTCCGGATTGCCACCCACTTCGGTGAGCTGGAGCTGGAAGTCCGGAAACGCCACCGGCAGGACCTCGAAGCAACGCACACCGTTCGTGGCATCCTGGTCGTCGGCTGGACGCGGTGTATTCCGGAGACGGTGACCCAGCTCGGTCTTGCCGCTGCCCGACGCGCCCAGCAGCAGGATGTGAAAGTCCTTCGGAGCCGGTGAGGATTTCAGGCAGCAGCAGGAGCACTGCAGACCCATTTATACATCGGCCATGTCGCGTTGCTGGCGGTACGGGATATGATTCTGCGATTCTGCCACGACAATGGACTACCGATCACCAGGAGTGTGGAAAAATGTCTTGTTTATTTACCAGCCAACCGGTGGACAGCTGACTGGAACAGAAAAGCCACGCTAGTAGCCATGACGATGCCGTGTTGTGGCCCGAAAAGTTGCCACGACAACGTCGCATTTTCCACACGAGGGATGGTTTTTGGGCTTCAGTTTCAGTTTTAGTTCTAGTTTTAACCACCGCCTTGGTATTTTCTCTGAATTGTTCCGATTTAATGGGGCTTTAGTTGGAAAACTACCCGGGAAATTCTTTTCTAGGGTTTCTTTGAAATTGGTTATGAATCGAAAGAGCAAAGACTTGAAATGTAAGGAGTTAGGCTTCTAGGGGAGGTTTGACTCAATAATAGAGCTTTCAAATCTTTTTTTTTTATTTTTCATATATTTTTTTAAATTAAAACTAGGAGTTTTAAATCCTAAATTTAGCTGTTAAGTTAGCCTTTCCTAAAATTTCCAAAATAAATAAATAGGCAACCCTTTTTCACAGAAACTTCTCTTTTTGGTTCAAATTTAAAGCTTTTTAAAGGTTTATTATTTTTTAAAAATTAATATTTATTATTTTAATCTTAATTGTAATATTGTGTTTCATCTTTTAAAGCTTTCCGACCTTAACAGAGTTGATTTTCAGCTTCGATTTCGAAAAAGCTATACAGAAAGTACAGTGAGTCTAGTTCCAACTTTAGTCGCTTAAAAGCTTCTTTCGTCACAAAAACATGCAGAGAATTTCCCCAAAAAGATTTCCCTTTAAAAAATATCCCACCATGTCTTAGGAGGGAATTTAAATTTCCCTATTATTATATCCTTTTCACAAAACCCACTCCACCCTTGGCCTGTTCAAAGCCAATTGTTTGCTTGTTGAAGCCAGACTTTGTAGTTATTGATTCGCTTTTCGCATTTCCTGCTTCCCGCTGAAAGCATGCTTTCAAAGCAAAGCAAAAGCCCAAGCAGGACTACAAAATAGCCTTAGAAAGAAGGACCAAGGACCTAGGACCCAGGACCCATGCATGCACACATAATGTATCTTTGATGAAGCTGTGGTGGCCGTGGCTTTTGTGGTTTCTACGAGTAGCGTGTCCTTTGGCTCCTGTATTCGGCTATCCTGGGAGCTCCTGGGACAGCCTGATACATTCGCTAATCGCCGTGTGTGTGTTGGCCATAAGCCCTCCAACGAAAATGAATGGAGGTCCTTTGTGTTACGCCGTTGCATTATGAATCCGTAAAGCACATCTGCCGAAGGTCCTTGGCCAGCAAATTGAAAAGTAAGCAAGCTAAACGTTCTCGGGCCTGAGAATTTTTGGTTCGGGAGTCGTCTGTAGCCGCAGGACAATCTTTGCTAGACTTCCTTCCTGGAGACTCCAAAGGATACTTGAAAAAAAAAATCATATAATTGATATTTTAATTCAATAAGAGCTATGGTTTAGGTTTATTATTAAAACCCGGTAGTTGGAGGGTAAAGGGGCATTCTAGACTCTCTAATATGATTAGTCTTTATTTTTTTTGGGAATATATATTTTCTCTATGTGTAGACTTCCTTCATATGAATATATCTGAATGCTGGGCACACATTAGTTTTGCATGCCGTCGCCCTCGTCCATTTTAATATGCGCATTAATGCGGCACAAAGCGGTGCGAAAAGTGACAACCCCGCCTCTGGATGGCTGGATGGCTAGATGGCAGGAGCAGGACATGCCAGGATACGGTAGGATGGTTGATGATGAGCGAGGTGTGTGTAGCAGCGCGAATGCAAAATGCAAATACGCGGCTGCTGGAGCGGCAGTTGATTGCTGTGCTGCTGCTGCTGTTGCTGGTGCATGCCCCGCCGAGTGGCACTCTGAATGTTCCCCCAAAAACCCTATCGTACCCAGTGACTTTATAAATAGAGATCCACCCTCCACACCGGCATGTGGACTCGGGCTTAAGTCAAATATTTGCAGATGGGCTGACGCCCCGAGGAGGCCCAAGCCATTCTTGGCTAAATGAAGCGGCTGGGAGGCTCCAGACCTGGCTGGCCGCAAACTTGGAAAGCTGGCCCGGCTGGCTCATTCGATTATTCCAACGCAGCGCAGCATCATTCCGTTTGCTTTCCGGCTGCCTTGGGTGCTTTATCCTTGGGCCTTATCCTTAACCACATGGCGACGTCATATTTCCTTCTAGCAGGCTTCTTCCTACCACTTGTCGAGTCGTTCACCGTGTTCTCAACAAAAAAAAAAACGAGAAAAAAAATAGAAAACCAGCTAAGAAAGGACGGTGTGACGGCGACGGCAACGGCTTGCCTCGGATTTCATTTCCGGCATGTTGCGGTTACGTTAAGTAACGGAGATTGCATCGCTAATGATGCAATTGTGTTGAGCGGAAATGAAAGCGGGCACACCTTCGCGCGGAAAGCCATCCACTAGGATCTATCAGGATTCTATCTCCTGGCATCCTTCTGGCAAAGTCTAAAGTCCAAAAGCCTGAAGCCCAAAGCCAATGAAGCCGAATTGGCGGGAAAACTATGTGCCCGCTAATTGCATCTCCTTTGACTTTGCCTTCATAGAGGGAGCGGAGAGAGGGAGAGGGAGTGGATGGAATAAAACGGTAAAAGCAAACGACAAAGGAAAACGGAAGAAGTGAAGAGCCTTTCTCTGCGCTTCTCAAACAACCTGCTTTAATGAGCTCTCCATAATTGTTTAATTGGATAAGAAATAGAGTCACGGATGCTTGACACACTTCCCCAGGGTATATGATTCGTGATGTTTTTTTTTTCAGATTTTTCAGAATAAAACATGACAACTCGAAGGCATCTCGTCAGGTCGGAGCAGCCGCTGACCTACTGGCCTATTGATTTTTCACACACACACTTTTCTATCCCACTGCCAGACAGAGACCTCTCGAACGTATTCCCTCCCCCCAATACATATTTCTATCCAGGCCGAAGACCAACAACCATCCAGCAGTATGAGGTGAGTAGAAATCTGTGGTGTAGTACTTGGCCTTACCTTCCGTCTTATTAGCGGAAAGTGCTGTGGGAAATCATCTTCAAAGTGTTCCAAGAAGCGTGAAAATAGGTAAAGTGCTAGTCTCTTATTGAACTGTTCCCTGATTTTATCTTTATGGTAGAAACACAAGCAATAACCACAGTTCCAGATGTGTGTCGCAGTCGCAGGATTTGGCCAGAACGCCAGAGCATATGCGTCCGGGACATTGCGGGCCAGTCCGGCAATACAATCCCCGGGACTTTGGCCTCACCGGAAACGAGGAGTGGCAACATCCACGCATGTTCCGCGACATGACTTGTAAGTTATAGACTCTAACTTACCTCATTCCTCCCAAGAATATACTCCTTTTGCAGATGAGACAAATGCCAGCTTTCGTCAGCCGCGGGCATGTCGCCAGCCGTACTCTTCAACGCCGGCGGCAATGAATCTGAGCAATCTGCCGGACGAGTGCCTGGCGGACATGTCTGCGCCCAATTTTGAGAGCAGCCGGCTGGAGGACAGTGCCCAGGAGTGCCGGGGTACCCAGTCTCCAGACAGGAGCCACTGCAGGACCGGAAAGGAGGGCAGTCGCTATGCGGATGAGGTCTACAACGAGATTGTGGAGCGATTCCAGACGCTGAGGCGGCGCATCGCCGAAGGAGATCGACTGCGGCGGGCCCAGAGGAGGGCCCTGAAGGAGCTTGAAGCTTCCAGACGTGTAACTATTTTAACCGAAACCTTCATAACAATGCTAATAACATCGCCTTACGCAGACTACGGAACGGAAGATCATTACCCATCACGATCCCTGCGGCCATGTGACGAGTCAGGTCGAGGTGATGACCATTTCGAACTCAGCACCCGAGCACGACTCGAATGATCTGGACTGTACCCCGACCGGACCTGGAGGTGAGCCGGCGCGTCGCCTGAACTTCTCCAGGGCCCACAGGTCGGAGAACCTGGACGACATGACTATGCCGACGTGCCACGACGCCTCCATGCCGGAGGAGTGCCTCGATGAAATGACGATGCCCTCATACTCGTCTCGCGGGGCCAGCTTGAGGCCCGTGTCCTGCCTGGAAGATGAGACCATGCCCTCGTTCGGGCCGGCTTCCGGAATGTCGCGCCGGCAACTGTCCATGCCCAGTGAGTGTCTGGACGATGTTACGGAACCCTCGATGTCCAAGAGTCGATCACGGCGATCCTCGAGGATGACCAATGAGTGCCTGGAGGATATGACGATGCCCTCCTTTGGAGCATCCACCACAAAGTCCTCCAGTCGCTCACCGAGATCCTTTAACTCTGGAGTAGATGGCTGCCTCGAGGATGTGACAATGCCCTCATTCGGAGGAGTATCGAACTCTTCCCGGCGACAGCCAACGCTCCCGAGCGAGTGCCTGAACGACGTGAGCGCTCCATCCTTTGCCAGTCGCGGGCAAAGGTCCATGCTCGTGAGGTCCACCCACTCGACACGATATGGAAATACGGACAAATGCCTCGACAACGTGACAATGCCCTCGTTTGGAGGTGTAAACGATTCGTCCCGGAGATCGTACAGCCTGCCCATGGAGTGCCTGAACGATGTGAGTGCGCCCAGCTTCGATCATAGTGCTTCCCGAGGAGATACATCGCGAGTCTTGAAGCAGTCGCACCGATTGAGGAGGCGTTCACTATCCTCTAGAGGGGCTCCGATGACCAGTGAATGCCTCGAGGATATGTCCATGCCTTCTTACGGAGGCGTATCCTCCTCCTTCCAGGCGAAAACCCCTCGCGGTCACCAGATGCCAAGTGAATGCCTGGAGGACATGAGCATGCCGACATGCGGGGATGTTTCTGGGGCCTCCAGTCGGCGGCACCACAGTCGACGTCGAACGAGATCCCTCTCCTTGAAGTCGCCCACTGAGTGTCTGGACGAGGTGAGCATGCCATCCTTCGGTAAAGTCTCCAGAAGACGGCTCTCCATGCCCAGCGAGTGCCTGGACGACGTCAGTGCCCCGTCCTTTGCCAGGAATATGTCCCAGGGCAGCAGTCGTGGACAAAGATCCCTGCCTGTCCAGAACCTGGACGACATATCAGCACCGTCGTTTGCCAACTCCACGGCATACGGAAACTCGTCCTTTCGAGGAACTTCAAGGTCGGCGAGAGCCAGAAGCTCGAGGCGTGCCATGGGCAATATCTTATCCGGACGAGAAGCGTTCTCGGACGAGTGCCTAGACAACGTGACGATGCCTTCCTTTGGCGGCGTTTCGGGTGCCTCGAGACGCAAGTCACAGAGATCCATGCCAAGTCAAAATTTGGGGGATGTATCGGCGCCGAGCTTTATGAGTTCTGGGCGTGGGGAATGCTTGGACGATGTCACCATGCCATCGTTTGGGAGAGCAGCTGCCTCCTCCAGAAGACAGATGACTCTGCCAAGTGAGTGTCTCAACGATGTAAGCGCTCCGTCCTTTGGAGGGAGAAGCTACTCGCGAGGAAACAGTCGCACTCGCAGATCCTATGCCTCCCAAAACCTCTGCGATGAATCTGCTCCCTCGTTTGCTCACTCCTCAAGAGATCCGATGACCAGTGAGTGCTTGGAGGATGTCTCCATGCCGTCCTTTGGTAGAGCTTTGTCGTCCAGTTCGCGTCGTCGTGAACCGACCCTGCCGAGTTGCTGCCTGGAGGACATAAGTGCCCCATCTTTTGGTGGAGTATCCGGGGCCTCAAGAAGGCATGACTCTAGCTTGCCGAACGAGTGTCTCGAGGACGAAAGCATGCCGTACTTTGGTAATATATCTGGCATATCTCGCGGCCAGTCCACAGCAATGCCCAGTGAGTGTCTGGCGGATATGACAATGCCCACGTTAGAAGATTTCTCAACCAACTCCAGACGTAGAGCGTCCGTGTCCCAAAAGAGATCTATGAGTCCCAGCCAAATGACAGCGCCCATTTATGCCCGCTCCAGGCGGGGCATGATGCCCGAATGTATAGAGGATATGACGATGCCGAGCTGTGGGGATGTGTCGGGCATATCACGCAGCAGGAGTCGTCGTCAAAGGACAATGCCCTCGCAGAATATTTGCGATATATCCGCGCCCTCTTTCGCCAGTTCGCACCGAGGCCAGATGACAAGCGAATGTCTGGACGATATGACAATGCCCTCCTATGGAAACGGTTCTGGAAGACCTCAAGATGCCAGAAAAATGTCTTCCAGAATGGAGTCCACACGCAATGAATGCTTGAACGACATGACTATGCCCGCCTATGAGAGTTTCGGACGAGATTGCAAGGCGGAGGTGTCCAGACCGACAGGGGCAAGCTTCCGAAGTAGAAGTGCCATGTCCAGGTGCCGACAACCCACGATGACTGACGAATGTCTGGATGAGATGACCATGCCCTCGTTTGGCGGCGTTAGTGGCTCCTCCAGGAGGCAGCCGACTCTGCCGAGTGAGTGTCTGGACGATATGACCGCTCCGTCGTATGGCAGAAGCACTTTACGAGAAGCGAGCAGAAACCAACGATCCATGCCTTGCGAGAATGTAGACGACATATCGGCGCCAACGTTCGCCTCTTTTTCCAAACAAATGACCAACAATCAATCCGAGTGTCTGGATAACGTGACCCAGCCCTCTTTTGGAGGCATTTCAGGAGTTTCGAGGGCTAGAGCCGCGATGACCAACGAATGCCTGGACGAGGTGACAATGCCTTCCTTCGGCGAAGTGTCTGGAGCATCGAGAAGAGGTCTCTCCCAAAGGCCACGATCGACGCCCTCCGGCAATGCTGGGGCCTTGGATTGCACTCCTTGGAGAAGCCATCGTCGTCAGCGATCTTGTCCTGTAAATAGGAGCGAGTGCTTGGACGATGTGAGTGCACCGAGCTTCGGCAACACTACGGGAATGTCCTCCCGGCGGGGTCAGCATCTTACCAATGAGTGTCTCGAGGATGTCAGTGCTCCAAGCTTTGCCAGAAGCATGAAAATATCTCCAAAAAGAGGTCAGACCATGACCAGCGAGTGCTTGAACGATGTGAGTGCACCCAGCTTCGGTAACTCTACGGGTATGTCCTCCCGGCGGGGTCAGCATACAACCAATGAGTGTCTGGAGGATGTCAGTGCTCCCAGCTTTGCCAGGAGCATGGAAATGTCTTCAAGAAGAGGTCAGACCATGAAGAGCGAATGCCTTGACGACGTTACTGCTCCCAGCTTCGGTAACTCTACGGGAATGTCCTCCCGACGAGGTCAGCACACAACCAATGAGTGTCTGGAGGATGTCAGTGCTCCCAGCTTTGCTAGGAGCATGGAAAAATCTTCAAGAAGAGGTCAGACCATGACCAGTGAGTGCTTGAACGATGTGAGTGCACCGAGCTTCGGTAACTCAACGGGAATGCATTCAAGACGAGGTCAGCAACGCACCAATGAGTGTCTCGAAGATGTCAGTGCTCCCAGCTTTGCTAGGAGCATGGAAATGTCTTCAAGAAGAGGTCAGACCATGACCAGTGAGTGCTTGAACGATGTGAGTGCACCGAGCTTCGGTAACTCAACAGGAATGTCTTCAAGGCGAGGTCAGCAACTCACCAATGAGTGTCTCGAAGATGTCAGTGCTCCCAGCTTTGCCAGGAGCATGGAAATGTCTTCAAGAAGAGGTCAGACCATGAAGAGCGAATGCCTGGACGACGTTACTGCTCCCAGCTTTGGTAACTCTACGGGAATGTCCTCCCGGCGGGGTCAGCATACAACCAATGATGGTCTCGAGGATATCAGATGGGGTCAGCCTTTGACCACCGAGGGCCTGGACAATGAGACTGCTCCTAGCGGAATGTACTCCCAAACGACTCGCGAGTGCCGGGACGACGCAACTGGACAGTCCATGGGACGAGGTGACACCGAGTGTTTGGATGATGTGAGTGCGCCCAGTTTTGGAAGAAGTATTTTGATTTCGCAACGACAGGGACACCAAACCACAAACGAATGTCTGGATGATGTTACTGCACCCAGTTTTGCCACCAGTTTGGGATACTCCACAAGACCTGGACAACAGTATCCGTCGGAGTGCCTGGATGATGTGTCGATGCCCATGAACCTGTCGTATAATACATCCGAACCCAGATCGGTGAAGCATCGGCCAATAGACGTCTCCTATCCCTCGGAGATGTTGACGAATCAAAGCTGTCCTCCCTACTACTCCCAAAACGAAATGGATGATGGTTGTCCAGATCCATGGGGAAATGGAACTGAGACCCGCTTGGAGGACGAGAGCATGCCATCCTGCCAGGAGTTCGTGGGCCATCCTCGGAGTCATAACCTTACCATGCCCTGTCCCGATGAACCGGAACCCAACTGTTGTTGCTCCGGAGAAAGAAACCCCAACGACTTCTTCAGTTCCACGCGAATCGAGCAGACACCTTGCCAGAATCAAGAGACAAAAGAGAAGAAACTTGAGAAAGAAAAGAGCTCGAAGGATTCGTCTAAAAAATCGCCGCCTGTCGTGAAACAGGTTACGGTGCGCAGCTCCACCACGTCGGTTACCAGGGTCTACGAAAACCATCCAGATCACAACGATACAAGGTCTCTGCACTATGAGCAACGGGCAGGTGACCCCAACCGAACTGAGCACATCGAGGACACCTCGATGCCGATGATGGAGAGAACACCACCCGAGGCCCCTATCGGATACCTCTCCGACATCACTGAACCCACATTCGGGCCGTCCTTCAACTCGACGGAACCGAGCCAGCCGACCAACCAAAGCGGCTCCTACCACGGCTTCACCTCGATGGACAATTATGTGCCCTTCGATGAGTTGGTCGGGTCACCAGCCCCCAATACGACTCCCGGGCGGTCCAAGTGTGTCAATCGCAGCAAAAATCAGTCGAAGAATCAGTCCAGCAAGAAGTCTGGCAATCGCACTCGCAACACCTCGGCTTCAAGGTCGCCGACCCAACCGTGTAACACGGTCAGCACTAATTATCCTTACGGAAAGCCCCATTGCCAGAGCCGGCCACCTTGCTAGATACCTCCATCATCGGCTTGGAGAGAAATCCAAAAGTTCCTGGGGAGGGAACCAAAAACACAAGCCAAAAACTCAAAAATCAAGACAAAAAAAATTCAAAAACAATTGGAATAATTTTTGTACATCTACCATAAGATAGATCAGTATTTTACAACACATTGAGGCAATTTCCGATGCAAAACAATGGCAAAACACAGTGCAGAAATACAAAAATAAATATAAAATAAAATTGGTAACAAATCGTTGAAGGAAGCTTGCAGCGGAAACGCGTTCATTGTTGCCTTTTTCTTTTTTTTTTTGTTCAGCCGTTGGGCTTGAAACTCCTTTCTCGCGATAGTTTGGCTTTTTGTTGCGCTGTTGGCCCGATAAAATAACGAACGAAGGCGGAACCAGGGGGTAGCTATACATCCGTGTATCTGTAGCTGTATCGGGGTATTGGGGTATCGGGGTATCGGTGTATCTGTATCTGCAGCAGACACCTCGAAGCGCGTGTCGAGCGATGCGAGCTATTTAAAAACAATTTATTTTTAGCAAGTGAAGCGCCAAGAGCGAAACAACCTGTCGACCCACGGCAAACCCACCCGTTCAGTCAGGTATACACTGTGAGAAAACTATATGTAATTAGTAATATTTGAAGTATATAAACTTTCTGTAGAGACTTTGGAGTGGAGGCAGTTTTTTTGTGGCTCTACTAAAATGCTTTAGTCTCTAATGCTTTATTTTGTTTTTAGTAGTAGAAGTAATAATAGTAGTACTTTGGTAGAATATACTTATATTAGATTAGATCTCATTCTATTCTAAACTCTTCTTTTATATTAAACTTTTTATCTGAGCAGTATATATACATACATACCTATATCTGAACAGTAACTATACTTTTCGAAGTGGAACCCTAGCCGTACATTATGCGGCCCTAATTCGATTGTTTGGAAAAAGGTCCAAAGATCCTTTTAATTGAGTACTTTTTTGTCCAAAGAAAATATTACTAATTTAATTCTATTATTTATTCTACTAATTTCTACTATTCCTATTATTTTTTTTGACAGTGTAGCTGCGTTAAAACTGAACTGAGCCCCTCTGGTCCACAACTGTGACTGCGACGTTGATTTCTGTTTGAAAAATCGAGCGTTGCCCGACAAATGTCGGCGAGGGCGGTTAGAAAAGTGGCAGGGTGGTGCCGGGGGTATGCAAAACAAGAACTGCAGATGCTTCAGATTGGTTTTCCAATTACTCAACATTTCAATGCAAATAGCGAGGGGGGAGGCAGCCGAGGGGTTTGGAGTAAGGAAGCTACAGGCTACGGGACAGGCAGGCAGGCAGGCAGGTGTGTTTCAGGTGAAAGATGGGCCAACGTAACGGTTAACGGTGAACCCGTTGAAGAATCAAATTGAACCCGTAGAGTCCTTAGAATTCGTATACCGTATACGGTATATCCGTATCCGTATCCGTATCAGTATTCGTGTATTCCGGCGGTCGAGATTGCGGCTGATTGTGCGAAATTGTGAAATTGTGAGAGATGTGTGTGTGGTGTGGGTGTGTGTAAAGGAGAGCCGCTGACCTGAGACCTGAGAGCTAAATATATCCAACGATTTCATGTCGCAGATAAAATTTCAATCAACGTTCCACTCACTTTCACTCTGGCCCCCATAATTGGACTTTCTCTCGACGGGCGAAAGTTTCTGATTCTGATTTGTGAATATACTATACATTCATCGAAAGGGTTGGCTGGCTCTTGATAATTACTCGGATTTTATTCATCTAAGCTTTAAGTTTTTAATTGGATTGACAAGTTTGTTGGCTCAACTATTATTTAGAGTTCTGGAAAGTTTTTTCCTTTTTTTCTCTTTTATGTTTTAAATAAGGGTTATAGCTTCTTTTTTGAAACTGGTTTGGAGCTGGGTTGGCTTTGATAGTTTGACGATTAAAATCAGTTGACAATTAAAACATAAATATTAAAAAATAACAACAGCTGGGTTTAAGCTTAAATACTATAGAAAATAATCTTTTAAACTAAACTAAATTATGTAAAGAAATACACATAGTTCCCCAAACTATAAAACCTGTAAATTAACGTTAATTATTCATCTTAATTACCTAAAAGTTTGGCACCTCCTAATAATATTTCTTTAATATCCCATTATCATTAACAAACAAAACAAGAACTCATTTCCTTATTCAAAATATTTGGTGACATTTTTTCCATAAAACAAACCATTTATCAACACCCATGTAGAGTTTCCCATCTTGCTTTTCATTTTCATTTTTCCCCAACTATTTTCCAAGCTGGGTTGAACGAAAGCCTCACACGTAGTTGCCACTTAAAAGTTGAAAATTACAATTTACAGTTTTCGACCCTGCACCCCGTCACCCTTGCCCTTTCACCCACAGCTTCCCCTTCATACATATATATTTATTTTAGTTTATATTATTTTCTTTTTTATTTATTTATTTCCCATTTTTTTTTTGTAGTTACCATTGAAGAGGCAGTTAAAATGGCTTCAGCCTCAATTGCTGGCATCCAGCATTCACCGTTTCAGCCAGCAAATAGTGGCATATACCATATATAGTGTACACCATATAGCATACAGCATACATATAGCATATAGCAACAGCATCCCGACCAACATCCAACATCCAACGACCCGCTGCATTAGGAAAGTTGACGCTGTTCTGTAGATGCTGTGAGCGATTTATTGTTTTTGTGTAGAAAGCGTAAAATGGAACAAATTTCCCCAGCCCATTTTCCATCGGCATGGCCATAGTGATGACGGAACAAATATACATATATTTTTTTAAATTTTAACATAATAGTTTTTTAACTTATTTATAGAAAATATTCCTAGAAAACTGTACTCGAATAGATTATGACTATCAGTTTAGGCTTGTTTTGACAAAACTTTAATTTAAGCATATTTTTAGATGTTTTAGTTAGTCTTAATTTATATTATTTTAACTTATATTCTTAATCTATGATCTAAAAATAATTATTTCTACAGGAGCTTTGGTTTCATTATTCTGATAGACCACACTGCGTATGAGTGATAGACCACCTTACAAAGCCTTTTCTGCTTTATAGAAAGGGTATGGATTTTATTTTAAAGTTACATCTATCATTCAATAAATAAATTTTAGCACAACAAATTTATGTTCCTTTTACTAAGATATTGAATAACTTGTTAGAATATTAAGAAAATTAACACCATAGATATGTACTCCCTAAATCCAGAATTTCTAACAAAATATAGTAAACCTAAAGAATTCAAGAATTCAAGAAAATGTCAAGGAGCTTAAACCCTATTCATATACATTTTTTAAAATAAAATTTTTTAATTAAGAGTTTTAAATCTTAAAAATAAATACGAAAATATGGCGAGGCATCTCTAATAGAATTACATGGAGTGTTTGCCTGTGAATGTGGTAGCATACTTTTAGGCTGCAACTGCAACTGCTGTTCCTGGTTTGGTCCTGCCGCTGCTCCTGCTCCCTGCTTCTGCTTCTGCTCCTCCTCACCCCTCTGATTTCATCTCCCATCACACCCAAACATTCAAACACTCAAACACCCAACCTTCCCCCGAGTCCTGTACCCAGCCACGCCCCCTATTTGTGTTCCCATTTGGAGGCTAGGCAGTTAATTGTAATTCTGCAAAAATGCTGTCAAAGTTATGCGAGTGCGAAAATGTCCACGGGCGAGAGAGGGTGATGGTTTTTGTTTTTGGTTCGGTAACTGGTAACCGGGCGTTTATAGGGGGGTGTGCCATAGTAGGGGGTCAGGGGTCAGCAAGCAGCAGTGGCAGCACCACTCGACCAAACCCGCATTCGAGTGGATCGCAGTTTGTTGCCAAATTGCATTTTAAAGCCACTTCACTCGCCGGTTGGGAGGCTTTAAGCCTCCGGCCATCGATTGCCGTTGGCCGTGCCATTCCGGAAATGGCCTAAATCCGTATCGTTTACGGTTTGTCAGCTCAGGTTTCCCAACTTGTTATAACTTTTTCAGCAAAAAAAAAAACGGAAATATATTGAATAAAAATACGCATTCATATTTGCATTTATCGCAATCACTTTTTAATGATAATTATTATTTGTGAAATTCAAAAAAAAAAACACACCTTTAGGGTTCTTAACTTTGAGAGCTTCAAATAATTGATGTTAAAGTAAATAAAGAAAATGTATTTTCATTTTGGTTAATTTTGTTGTATTTATTCAGTCAAGTGCCATTAAGATGATTTTTACTTCAATTGCGTTTAAAAAACAGGTTATTTTATAGAGAAAAGTGAGCAAGTAATTACCAATTTGATGGTTTTTTTTAGCAATTGTATAAAAAGCTCTGTTAATTAATAAATCAAGTATTTTTAACAGTAAAAGCACAATCTACGAAACAAAATGCAGCCACTGGCTTTGTTCCAGAGCGCTAGAAAGTAGGCAACAAAAAAGATTATTTTTATAAAACTAAAGAATCCAGAAAAGTTAGTTCTTGTTTAATGTCCCCCAATTAAATAAGAATTAATTCATATATTCCTTTCCTTAATTTAATCCCTGAAATTGGCTAAAACATTTAACAACTTCTCGAATTTATTTCAACCTCCCCCGGAACTCGGAAATTCCTCAAATAAATAGACAAAAAAAAAAAAAGAAAGCAAAAGAAATGTCATCAATAATTTTTGGCAGTCACTGTTTCGAGGCCCACCTTTCCGTCTGAGCCGCCTTTTGTGATTTATCCGTTGACGTTTCGCCGCATTTGGCCAAATCAGTGCCGGAACTTTTGCAAAATGCCAATGGCAATATTCACACGCTCATAATTTACAATCGCAAAGTTTTCATCTGCCATTTGGTTGCCTTTTTCCTCTCGTACATGAACATTTTCTTTGGATCCGTTTTTCTTTTTTTTTTTTTTCTCTCACCCTCATACGGGAAGGAAATTATTACTTACATCAAAGATTTGCATACATCGTCTTAGTGGGTTAGGCAACGGCAAATTTGTCCCTGCCAGGATATAGGGGGATATAGAGGGCGCTATTGAGGGGGGGCTATGGGGGACAGGGGTATAAGGGGCTAAGAATAGAATTGTAAGCCAAGTGAAGGAAGAAGTTAAGTAAAAGAATTCGAAGGGAAAACTTTGCCTTCAATGAAATGAAATAAAATTGCATTACAACGGCACAAACGGGGGTCGAGCTCTTGGGCTTCACAGCAAAAAAAAAAAAGAAAAAGGGGCAATATGCGGGAGACTTATAT